AAACTCCGTCTCAAAAAAAAAAAAAAGAAAAGAAAAAAAAGAAATGCAATTTCTTTTGGTTATCAAACTCAGACATTAAAATGAAAGTGCAGTTATGTCCTTCTCCCTCCTTGAACTATCTATCCATCTCTTGAAACTGTTCACTATTGCCACAAGTAGCTATAAATTAAGCTCATTATGCCACATTGGACACTATATCCAATACCCTAAACCATAACAATATATACACGATATACATCTAATCAGTAATCAGTATTATTTCTGACAGACAACTTTGCACGTGCCCACTCTCTGTCCCTGTCTGTCATCTTTACAAATTCTCTCGTTACTGCTGATAATCAGAGTGCATTTCCAGGCAAGTTGCATCTTTGCTCCCAGGTTGTAATCCTCAAGCTTGACGCCAATAAAGTGTCTACTTGTATTCCTGTTGTGTCTTTTTTTTTAAGACTTCTGTAGAATGTGCTAGAGCAGCCTCTGTGAGGCGGTCTCTCCTTTGATTGTACTCCACTTTCTGTAATAAGAAAGGATGCAGAGCCAGGTAGATCTTTCCTAGAATCTGCAGCTAAGGTCTGGCCTCTGCCTGGGGTTTACAAAAAAAGGGCCGGACTTTGGATTGAGAATGTACAGAAAACTAACAAAAGGCGTTTTCTGCATTGTGAGATGTCAGCATAGACATCTTACAGCCCCCATTTGGGAGTGTGGCTATTTTTTTTTTTTTTTTAAAGATGAGGTTTCACCATATTGGTCAGGCTGGTCTCGAACTCCTGACCTCAGGTGATCCGCCCACCTCAGCCTCCCAAAGTGCTGGGATTACAGGCGTGAGCCACTGCGCCCGGCTTGGGAGTGTGGCTCTTTGAGATTTTCCGCATCTTGTTCATTGACCTGCTACAGTTATGTGAGAGACTCCAGGAGGAAAGAGAATCTGATGTTAGAATTTTAAGGGTAAATAAGCATCTTTGGAGTGGGAGATCGAGGCCATGAAGTATCCAGAGCCATGAGCACAAGTATATTCACCTGTAAAATGTGATACTGAAGTAGAGTATTTTTGTTCTTTCTTTACCCAAGAGCTAGCAAATCAGAACAAATGATCTAGGAGCTGGAGCTCCATCGGCTCCAGGCCACTGGAAATTCTCTCAAAATCACCTAGACATCTTTGAGGCATTTGAGGATGTCTAGAGCAGAATTTTGTCACGTTGACAAGAGTGGTTGATTCCGCTTCTGTCCTAGTGTAAGAAAAATGAGTCATCTGGTGTTTGTCCATCCCCTCATACAAGAGGTGTCTTGGGATGATACCCAGATGAGAGTTTTTCCAGTTTCCTGGTACTCGGATGATAAACAAGGAGGAAATCTGAAGACCCAAATAGATAAACTAGTTGCTTACATTTTATATAAGCATTAAAAAAAATACGTGAAGCAGTTATGGTTCCTACAATCCAGAGACTTTTAGACTAGACTAGCAACTGGATAAAGAATTGAATTATGTATCATATGGTTGGTACAATAAATAGATGTGTCCAAAACCTTTGGCTTTATTTAGGCCACTTTGTTTATATTGTGATTTCTGATGTCTGCACATAAAGGAATATTTATGATCAGAAGAATTGTTATTATAATTTCTTTTCTTTTTTTTTTTTTGAGACGGAGTTTTACTCTTGTCATCCAAGCTAGAGTACAGTGGTGCCATCTTGGCTCACAACAGCCTCTGCCACCTGGGTTCAAGTGATTCTTCTGTCTCAGCCTCCCAAGTAGCTGGAATTATAGGCACCTGCAATGGCGCACAGCTAATTTCTGTATTTTTTTTTTTTTTTTTTTTGGGACAGAGTTTCGCCCTTGTTACCCAGGCTGGAGTGCAATGGCGCGATCTCGGCTCACCGCAACCTCCGCCTCCTGGGTTCAGGCAATTCTCCTGTCTCAGCCTCCTGAGTAGCTGGGATTACAGGCACGCGCCACCATGCCCAGCTAATTTTTTGTATTTTTAGTAGAGACGGGGTTTCACCGTGTTGACCAGGATGGTCTTGATCTCTTGACCTCATGATCCACCCGCCCCGGCCTCCCAAAGTGCTGGGATTACAGGTGTGAGCCACCGCGCCCGGCCAAATTTCTGTATTTTTAATAGAGATGGAATTTCACCATCTTGGTCAGGCTGGTCTTGAACTCCTGACCTCGTGATTTATCTGCCTCGACCTCTTAAAGTACTGAAAGTCCAGACATGAGACACCATGTCCAGCCGTGTAATTTGTATTTCATTTTTTTCTTTTGACGGAGTCTCACTCTGTCCCAGGCTGAATTGCAGTGGCACAATCTTGGTTCATTGCAACCTTCATCCCCCACGGGGTTCAAGCGATTCTCCTGCCTCAGCCTCCTGAGTATAGCTGGAATTATAGGTGCCTACCACGGCGCCCGGCTAATTTTTGTAATTTTTAGTAGAGACGGGGTTTCACCATCTTGGCCAGGCTGGTCTTGAACTCCTGACCTCGTGATCCACCTGCCTTGGCATCACAAAGTGCTGGAATTACAGGTGTGAGCCACCGTGCCCTGCTGTATAATTTCGATTTCTTTTACCTTGCTAAGTGTACTTATTTGTTTTCTAATAAAATTACTCTAGAATGGCCTGGCACAGTGGCTCACACCTGTAATCCCAGCACTTTGGAAGGCTAGGGGAAACAGATCATAAGATCAGGAGTTTGAGACCGCCCGAATAATAATGATAAAACTCTGTCTCTATTAAAAATACAAAAATTAGCCAGACGTGGTGGCGCACACCTGTAGTTTACACTACTCTGCAGGCTGAGGTAGAAAAACCGCTTGAACCCAGTAGGTGGAGGTTGCAGTGAGCCTAGATCACACCACTGCACTCCAGCCTGGGTGACAGAGTGAGACTCTGTCTCAAAAAAATATATACCATAGAAAATATTAACGGATTTGTTTGAATTGCACATT